ATTTTGATGCACAGTTTTCCCTGGAAGTAATCTCGACTTACTGTTTTTTTTCATGAATTGCTTTATTGAATTAATAATATTTGTTACATGTTTAATGGTTTAGCATAAGATGCCTGATACCTATAATTTTCCCATGCAAGAGTAATAGCAGAAAAAAGACCAAGTGGTCTGTTGAAACTTCCCGTTTTTATAATTGTTATGTCTGAGTATAGATCTATGTTTTCCCCATGCATATCTGAATCTACTTAATGTTGACTCACTCACTACCTCTGCTGTAAGTCTATTCCAAGATTCAATTACTCTTTCAGTAAAATAATACTTTCCAGGGTTAGTTTCGAACATTTCTCCTGCTAGTTTGAGGTCACGTTCCTGTGTTCTTGATCTTTTACTTTCTTTAGTTTCATATTGAGATTACTGTCCTCCTGAACCTTTTTTCACACCTTTAATGTGTTTATTCATATCTCCCCTTTGCCTTCTTAAGGAAACATGAATGTGATCTACTAGAATTGGCACATTATTTTATTTTACTTATTAGACCATCTCAGCAAGATATTGTGCCATGGACTCAATATTTGCTAAATGGATAGACAAATGAAACGTTAGGTTCTTTCATAATTACACTAAATAAAATATAATGGTGCCTTTGGCTTTTCCTTTTGGTATTTTCAGACTTGCTAAGCTGATGTCCCAGGTAAAAGTGAGGCCTACAGGAGTGAGTTTACAGCTTGATCCTCAGTACGAGCCTTGGACACATAAACGAGAGGTAGAGCCATCCCCATCCCCACAAACTGAAAATGAGGAACTTATGAAGAAATTCTTTGTTACTCTTGGCCAGGTAATGCCCAAACTCCAGCCAAACCATTTTTTTTCTTTTTGGAATGGGATAGATATAAATTATAGAATGTGAAGACATCTGTCTGATCTGCATGCAGCTGTTGTGAGCTTTTTTAAATTCTAGTGATGCAAGGGATGAAAAACCATGGCTTCTGTGCAGTAGAATGAAGTATGATATTAAGTATAAATCCCTTATTTTTATGGCATATGATGGAAGTGATGACACACAAATGCCTCCTGTTTAATATATCAGCACTGTAATGTATGAATTTTTTACTAGAGGGTTATTGGTTTCTCCTGGCCAACCTCAATGTAACCTGGTTTTACCATCTAGTTTCTCAATAAGTACAGTTCCATGGAAGCCATGACTTCTATATTTTGCAATGAAGATATATATCAAATCTGAAACAGCTGCAGGTAATGTGGATAACTTGTCTATATTTAGGCTGCATCTGGCTATAAAACAGTGATTCTGGATGCACTTTTGGCCACTGAAGAATACAGGAATGATTTGTATTTCTTGTTCCACTATAGTAAAATAAGGGATAGGTCCCTTGTTTGGATTTATGAGAAGTTGATGATGATATGTGAATACCTTCAGTTTTATTACAATGCTGTATTAGTTATTCTTTCATAATATAGATTTATTTAGGAGAATGGTGATAATCCTGAAGTCTGTGGCTGACTGGGTAAATATTTAAGTTTATGTTTTTCCAAGGCTTCGTTTACCCAGACAAAAGAATGGTTTACAATAGCAAAGCAAAATGAGCCTACTGTGACCACTGATTCATCTTTTGGACCCATTACCTGGGAGCCTGCACATGGTAGACTTTCACTGTACAATGGATACGATGGTAATAAATGTAAGTAAGAATGCATTACATATACAGCACTTTTATAGTCAATTGGTCATAGTCCTAGCGAAAATAAGGTTTAGTATACCCAGGTTTAGTATACCCAGCAAGTGTACAGTATGTCTAGGCTTTGGCTTTTTACCTTGTTCCTGTAGTGAGAAATAGCTTTTATTACTCTCCATGACATCAGCACCAGGCTTGAAAAATTCTTGCAGAAGCAGCTGCTGAGAGCTCGGTGCCTATTGATGTGTGCATGCTCCCCAGAACTGCATCTCCCAAAAGCCAAGTGTGTGGGCAGGTTCTTGTGAGTCAAGGCAGCAGCATGATTTTGATAGGAAATAAATGTATTTATTTTATTTATTTCAGGTACTTATATATCGCCATCAATTTATGCAGCGCTTTACATATATATTTGTACATTCACATCAGTCCCTAACCCTCAAGGGGCAGACAATCTAAGGTCAGGCAATCAGTGTAAGCGTATGGAAAGTGGAATTGTGAGTGGGGTATAGACAAAAGTCTGTATTCTACTAGTAAGACCTGACAATGCTGGTTGGGCTATTGGTGCTTGAGTGCTTCTGGCAAATCAATGCATTTTTCTGTTCTTGTAGAATTTTAAAACATGGGGGAAAAGGGAACCTCTTACTTTCTGCCATGTTTTTGTAAAAAAAATTGGGATAAACAGAGACAGAGAAGAATATTATGACAGCATAGACAATTGTGAAACAGTCAGTACTTTGCTTCTCTGATATCTGTATATTTTTGCATAGAAAGTAAGTTATCTATGTTGTCCGTATGGTTGTGTGTCCCTAGCCTTACACTGTACAAAGCTGTAAAGTATTATGTTAAAATGCATATTGTTACTGCAAATATAAGTACCTACATGTTTCTATATAATAACTTCCTGTGATTCCCCCTGTATAGCAATCCTAAGGCTGGACATAGTCTGCCAGGCATAGACATAGTCAGCCAGAGGGCTGAATAAAAAAAAAACAAATTCTAACAGATTCCTCTATCCTCCCAAGCAAGGTGCATGGAGGAATTCCCCCTGCCAGGACATTGTATTCTAAAGCAGGGCAGGATTAAGCGGTTTGCCAGAAAAGAAATTGCTCTGTTCCCCCATCAACACAGTCAGTGTAAAGATCGCATGTAAGTCTAACAGCCTAGTTTATACCCAAGTCGTACAACAACTGACTTGGGTACAATCAGCTTGCCCATAGATGCTGAACGGGCCAAGATTCCAATCATCTATGGCTGGCTTAACAGCGGCTCCTGCTGCTGTCGGGATACACTGTTCAGCAGCTGAAGCCACTGATCATCAAAAGTTTTCTAGAGTGTCCGTTCAACAGTACACCCTCCTGTACCCACCGAATTTTGATCCAGCATAAGGCCCCTTTCACACGGGGTGGACTCTGCTTTGCTCAGCAGGGGATCTCTCTGCTGATCAGTGCAGAGTGAGCAGATGACAGGTCCGTGTCCGCTCCGCTTATACTGAGCAGACAAGGGAAAGGCCCACTCTGCTGTATGGGCATTCTGATCTGATCCGCCCAGATGGAGGAAAATGGATCGCCTTCCATTTTTTCTAGCAGATTGGATTAGAGGTAGCTGGGTGTAAATGGACATCTGTCCGTTTATATCCGCCAATCTATAGGAATTCATGCACCTTACAACCATATCCACCTGAGAAACTGACAGGCGGACCTGACTGGATTGCCAGTGTGAAAGGGGCTTAAGAATGGAGCTTCTGACATAAGAAGGGAGTAGACTGAATATAGTGATTACCTCGTTAGTGTGGTATAACTGTCCAATAAAATTGTGAGTGGGTCAGTAAGCAAGCTGTATTCCTAAATGCAGTGAAGAAAAAGGATGTCACTGGCCTGGCTATGCAGTATGGCAGGGGTGTCTGTGTTTCAAGATTGATTGAATAAATTTGCTTTTTCTCTGTTAAGCAAAACAGTGCACATACCTATATATGTATTGCATGTGTGTATTTAGCTATTTGCTTGGTATTCAGCCTTAATAATAACATTTTATCAAGGTGAATATGTCTGCTTCATGATGAAGAATTTGTTCCATATTACCCATTTTTAATGTCATTCTTTCCCCTATATTTTGTGTAGTATATATATTTTGCAGGTATTAAGGTATTTATTTTATGTATGTATGTACATGATTCAAAACCATTATTAATATTTATATTGAGAAACTGAAAACATATAAATGTACAGTACATATTTATTCTACTTATTCTTGTGTCTTGACTATTCACCCCATATGTGTTAAAGTATCTAAAGGCAAAACCTTTTCATTTTAGTTTTTGATAGTGTACAGAGAGGTTTGAGCACCTGCCAGTTTTTATTGCGGTCTGTGCCCCCATTAGAGAGATTCACCCTCTCTATTTGTTTTGTTAATCCATTATCATTAAAGGTGAAAGTAAAAGAAAATCGCAAATTGTGGGTTGTCCCCAGAAAAGTAATAGAGGGGAAATCTTCCAATGGGGACACTAGTTCTGGTGATCTGGAAGTCCCCAAGGAATTCTATTCATTTGCAGGGATTTTCTCTCACTTCCTGTTTGGTTATGGGACAGGAAGTGAAGAGAAATCTCTGGAAAGGGACACAGATGGTAAAAAAAATAAAAAATCTGACAGGGGTTATGACCATCCCTTGCTCTACCTTGCTCCATCCAAAATGAAAAAAATAAGTGTTATAAGTGTAATTATATATTGTATTTGCTTTAAGCCTCACAGAGTGTTTCCAATGCCCAAACTGTGAAGAAACCCAGATCGGTATTATTGAAGAATACACAAGATGCTCAGAAGGAAGAGGAGTATTCTGTAACCATTGCAGATTCTCCTGTCCCAAGTCCAGTAAGAATTTATATTGAACAGAAAGAAGAGAAATTAAATGATAACGAGCAGCTAGAAAAAGACCAAGAAACTATTCAGGATAGAAATGTCCCAGTCTTCCCAACAATGGAGGACTTTTCCTTTTATTATGTTGATCAAGTTATGAAGACTGCAGTATCCAAGCTTAATGGAGAGAAGGTGGAACAAAGTGCAGGTGAAATTGATGTTTTCAGCCTATCAGAGGTGGCGATTCAGCCTCTGCAGAACACAAGAGCTCCTTCCACTACGTCTGAATCCACAATTGAAGAAGAAATTGACATCTTGGAATTAGACAGTGATGAGCTGGAAGCCCTGGAGTCCTCATGTCATAAGCATGAATACGCTCATATCCACAGCCGAAAAGAATTTGAAAGGTTTAAATCTTTTATAAAAGGAACATCTGGGGAAAAAACTATTCTGGTTATGGATGGACATTGAACGACTGAAAGCCATAACTGACATGAAAAGAAAGCAGAGGTACTCATATTGCATCAATTTCTTATTTGAATATTGATACTTTATAAATATATTTTGCACTGGGTACTGAGTTGTTTCAGCAGAGGTAGGTACTTTGACACTCTTTCTTTTCATGTGTCTGAAAGTAGCTAAATAAAGCCACAAGGGCTGCAATGGCAAGAATAAGCTTCAGATAGTGTAAAAAAACTATCAGCGGAGGTGCACTACGGGTCCAAGAAACTGCACGTCTGCTGTGCGTTTTTTTCATGTGCGATTTCATGCAATTGATGCATGTTTTTCAATCTGTATTTGTCCTTTAAGGTCATTTTTTTTTGTCTTTTTCCTTTCTTTGGCCTTTTTGCGCACTCTGATGTGCTTCGATGCATTTGGCTACGTTCACATGCACGTGCGCGCGTTTTCAAGTATTTGTGGTGTGGAAAAATGCAGCTAGCTTTTCCTTTTTCACTGCAGTGCACTGTAATAGTGTAGACTATACCCATAATATAACCTGAATTTTGGACTGTTTATGCTGTTGGAATGCAGTGAAACTTGCATATAACTGCATCTGGAGTGAATGAGCCCTTAAGCTGAAAAAAAAGGCATTTATATAAACACACCAGGACATGGGCCAGTCATGAGGACTGAAAGTAATAGATGGTATGTTGCTTAGAATCCTTAAGAGCTCAAATGTAAGTCCCCTGCTGATCTACTATAGTAAGGCCTCATGCACACTGCAGCTCAAAAAAGCTGCTTCTTCAAGCGTCTGAGCTTTTTTTTTCTCTGCCTGTAAACTCCCCTCCATGTTAGCCTATGGGGAGATTTACTAAAACTGGTGCAAACAGAATCTGATGCAGCTGTGCATAGTAACCAATCAGCTTCCAACTTTAGCTTGTTCAATTAGGCTTTGACAATAAAACCTGAAAGCTGATTGGTTACTAATCACAGCTGCACCAGTTTTAGTAAATCTCCCCCTATGTGTCCATGCACACTATAGGCGTTTTCAGTTTAGTGGCAGGGAAGTTTACAGGCAGAATTAAGAAAAAAAAATACGCTCACAGTGTGCATGAGGCCTAATGAGTGCAAACTCTTAACCACTTGCCACCAAATCAGGTACATGTATGATTTGCTTTACATAGTTATACCGGGGTTATGGCTGCACCTGTCTGCCATAACCCTGGTGTTGTTTTTTTCGGCTGGAGATGCTCTTTCATCTAAATACTATGTTTGTGGCTAATTACTTGCTGATTTCCTTTTACAGGAAGTGACCTCCCGTCTCTGAGCTCTCCAGTGAGATCAGGGAGCCTGGTATCCAATCCAACACTTCTGCTGGCTAATCACAGAGCAGATCGGTATCAGGGACCCAGCCATCTCTATGGTCCCTGAGACCAGAAGCGACAGGAGACTGTCTTTTAAAGCGAGATTTTTTTTTTTCTTTATCTCATGCTTTCTAGGGTAGAGGAGAGATCTGGGGTAGCCCCAGATGTCTCCATAAAGAGAACCTGTCATGCTTTATTTCTATCACAAGGGATGTTTACATTTCTTGTGACAGGAAAAAGAAGTGATTAAAAAAATAAAGGGACAATGTAAAAATACAAAAGGTAATAAATAATAATAATATAAAAAAAAATGTTAAAGCACCCCTGTCCCCCCTTGCTCGCATTCAGAAAAGAACGCGTACACATATGTAAATGGTGTTTGCACCACACATGTGTGGTATCACCACAAACATTATATCGAGAGCAATATAATTCTATCACTGGACCTCCATTGTAACTCTAAACTGGTAACCTGTAAACATTTTTAAAGTGTTGCCTATGGAGATTTTGTAAGTATAGTAGTTTGTCGCCATTCCACGAGCATGTGCAATTTTAAAGCGTGACATGATAGGTATTGATTTACACTGTGTATTATCATTTTTTTATATTTTATGAATAAATTGGGTTATGTAATGTGTTTTTTTCACATTAAAATTCATTAAAGTGTATTTTTTCCTAAAAATTGCTTTGAAAAACAGCTCTGCAAATATCATGTGACATTAAAAAATTGCAACAACCACCATTTTATCTCTAGAGCCTCTGATTATATAATGTTTGGGGGTTCTTAGTCATTTTCTAGCAAAATAAAATACTGATTTGTACATATAGGAAAGAAGTGGCAGAATAGGTTTGATCTTCAAGTGGTTAAGGCTCCATTCACATTTGTGTGACTTGTCATTGGACTTTGAACACATAGCGCTGAGTGAACTATTGGCGCTTTATAAATACTGTATAATAATAATAATAATAATAAAGTCGCATGACAAGTCACAGCCCATTGGTTTCAAAGGCACCCGCTCAAATCTATGACACTTAAAGTCACAGCAACTTTGAAAATGTTCCTGTACTACTTTAATGGGACTTTGATGCGACTTAGTGCCAGAGAGGGTAACGTCGGATCAAAGTCGCACTTAGGATTCATGTAATCACAATTTTCCTAGAAATAGAAAAACAGCGGTATATCTACAATGTATTTTTTTAATTCAAATTCAAGAGGAAAGATTCAGAGCATGAACCTAATCAGCATAACTGTAGACTCTGCGATTCCTTTATAAGTAAATCCAGGCTTTACCAATGCACTACTGGTTCAGAATTAGGTAGGACTGGTTGTTAGGATGTACTTTTCAAGATGCACCAATTTACCCACATTACAAATTGAAATGTTTTGCTGTGTGACATAGCATGTTATTATACTGTAGTAATGTGATTTTACTTTAATTTTATTTCCAGTCATCTTAACAAGATGAAAACAATTTACCTGGTGGCCACTGGAGACCATTATCTTCAGGCTGAAGTCCTGATGAAATTGGACCTTCTCGATACTAATCAGTGGAGTGAAAGCCATCTACACTCTGTCCGGGCTGAAATTGTCAAGCGACTCCTTATGTACTGGTAAGAATCTCTGTTCATTTAAATAACAGAAATGTTTTCTGCATTACAATGTTATTTTGAAAGCAAATCTAAACCCAAAAAGCAAAAATATAATATATTGCAGCTTACCCTTACTTATGCTTATACTGTGGTGGCAGTTTCTTTCTTTCTTTTTTTTTTCAGTTTATTTTCACCTGGTGATCTGGCCAGTAAATCTGATATTTTTCAACTTCCTTTCATAAACCAAGCTGTCCAGCAAAAGTGGCAGTTAGAGTGTTGATACAAACCATTTAAGGCAGAAGTAAACACTCCTATCCTTTTCAGCCAAGGAAGCTGCCATCTTAGCCTTTGTTTGATCTGTAGTTGCCATACTGCTGCACATGGGATCAATTATGAGAACAACCAGTTGACAGCTTGACAGTTTTAGCTAATTTAAGGACACTAGTAAACATAAGGGCACAATTACACTATGTGTGGCGACCTGCATATTTCCACAATATACTGCATGGCATCTCATGTCATCATACAACAGCACAACACACCGCGCTGCTGTGCAGAAACATAAATGAAGTGTCACTATGTGACACTTCAAATAAAGTTACAAAAAAAGAAAATAAAGAGCAAGCAGTGGGGTGAATCTGAAACGTGCATAGCACTGCTCCCTACTGGAGCTGGCATTACCACTAGCCTGCATTGTAAAAAGCTGCATGTGTGAACCTAACCTAAGAGTTATCATTTATCGCATGACCTGAATGTAACTTTTTGCACCAATTTACTGCCTGTCAGCCTTCGGTGGATAACAGAGGGACATGGCTAGATTCACTAGGCTGGTAAATACTGTATAATATTTCAGCTCACCCCTGCAGACCAGGTAAGGAGGGGTTAATACTAGCGTTAACCCCAGGGAAGTATCGTTTTAGTTGGAGTTCAGCTTTAAAGGTGTTCTAAAAATAAAAAAGAAGCTATACTTACTTGCTCTGTGCAACGATATTGAAGAGAGATGGTCCCTTACCTCTTCTTTACCAGTCCCCCTCCAACTTTCTCCCCTTCTACCTCTCCATGTGCTAATGGCTCCCACTGCTCTCAGTGAAGTCCATGAGATCAGAAAAAGGGGAGAGAAGAACTGCTGCCAGGCAAAGCGCTGGATTCATAGAGGACTCAGGTAAGTGTTTAGAGATGGGGGTGTGGAGATTATGGGGCATTTTTTATCTTAACCACTTGCCCTTCAGAAGATTTACCCACCTTCCTGACCAGGCTATTTTTTGGGATATGGAGCTGTGTTACTTTAACTGATAATTGTGTGGTCATGCAATGCTGCACCCAAATAAATGTATGTCCTTTTTTTCCCACAAATAGAGATTTGTTTTGGTGGTATTTGATCACCTCTGCGGTTTTTTATTTTTTGCGCAGATCACCAGGTGAAAAAGGAAAAAAGCTTAAAAAAAGAAAACGAATGCAACCACCACATTTAAGGATTAGTAAATTGCAATATATGGCATTTTTGTTTTTAGCTCTAGATACACTTTAATCCTTGAAGAAGCTTGATTTGTTCTGAAAATGTAGAGAATCTGACATATATTTACACTGTATGTGTGTATATATCTATCTATCTATATATAATATATATCGGGTAAAATAAATATTAAAGTATTCAACATGTCACCATTTTTCTAGGTTAATATACAGTATATTTAAAGGTGCTATTGACATGAAATTTTAACGTGTCGGTAACGACCCATGCAATCCATACATACAAAAAAAACCCAAAACAAATACGTTCAGAAATTAAGTTATGTGTAATAAAATGGAATGACATAGGGAAAAGTATTGAACACCTGAAGAAAGGGAGGTGCAAAAAGACATGGAAAGCCAACACACCAGCTGAAATGTATCAGTAATTAGAAAGCAATCCTGCCCCTTGTAAGTGCAAATTAATATCAGCTAGTTCAGTCTCAACTGATGGCCTTTAAAACAGTGTCTCATTACTAAGGTGTCACACAATAAACATGATGGGTAAAAGCAAACAGCTCTCACAAGACCATCGCAACCTTATTATTGCAACACATACTGATGGCATTGGTTACAGAGGGATTTCTAAATGTCTGAATGTTTCAGTGAGCACTGTTGGTGCCATAATCCGTAAGTGGAAAGAACATAACCAACAAACCATTTTGTACGAAGTATTAAATAAATTTCAGTTAATTCAATACCTTTCCCTGTTTCCATTTTATAACACATACCGTATATACTCGAGTATAAGCCGACCCGAATATAAGCCGAGGTACCTAATTTTACAACAAAAAACTGGGAAAAACTATTGACTCGAGTATAAGCCGAGGGGGGAGGAATAGTGCCCCATCGTTGATGTCAGTGGGGGGAGGAATAGTGCCCCATCATTGGTGTCAGTGGGGGGAGGAATAGTGCCCCATCGTTGGTGTCAGTGGGGGGAGGAATAGTGCCCCATCGTTGGTGTCAGTGGGGGGAGGAATAGTGCCCCATCGTTGGTGTCAGTGGGGGGAGGAATAGTGCCCCATCGTTGGTGACCCCTGCTCCAGCCTGGGCTCGCTCGCTCCCTCCCTCTCCCATGGTACATACTTACCGGTCAGATGTCTTCCTTCTCCGGCCGCTCTCCTCCTCTTCACTCGCTCGATCTTTGTGGTGCCGCTCGGCTCCTCCTCTCCAAGCTTCACCTCCTCGCCGGTGATTGGGCGCCTGTGTGCCTCTCCTGAGCTACAGTTCCGGCGGCCAATCACCGGCGAGGATTGATCCCGGGGGTGTGTCCAGATGACAGGCACGGCATGTCATCTGCAGACGTTGACTCGAGTTTAAGCCGGGGGGGCCGTTTTTCAGCCCAAAAAATGTGCTGAAAAACTCGGCTTATACTCGAGTATATACGGTAACTTAATTTCTGGCGTTATTTGTATGAATGTATTACATGGGTTGTTACCAACATGTGGTGAAAATTTCATGTCAATAGCACCTTTAGAAATGTATTTACCGAGAAAAAAGGTGACATGTTCAATACTTATTTTACCTGTTATATATATACACACAGTCACCGGCCACTCTATTAGGTACACCTGTTCAATTGCTTGGTAACACAAATTGGTAATCAGCCAATCAAATGGCAGCAACTCAATGCATTTAGGCATCTAGACGTGGTGAACATGACTTGCTGAAGTTCAAACTGAGCATCAGAATGGGGAAGAAAGGGGATTTAAGTGACTTTTGAACATGGCATGGTGTTGGTGCCAGACAGGCTGGTCTGAGTATTTCAAAAACTGCTGTTCTACTGGGACTTTCACACACAACTATTTCAAGGGTTTACAGAGAATGGTTCTAAAAAGAGAATATATCCAGTGAGTGGCAGTTGTGTGGAGGAAAATGCCTTGTTGATGACAGACTGGTTTGAGATGATAGAAAGGCAACAGTAACTCAAATAATCACTCGTTACAACCAAGGTATGCAGACTACCATCTCTGAATGCACAACACGTGCACCATCCTGCCTAGCATCAACGGTTCATGGATGTGCAGCCGACAAATATGCAGCAAACTGCGTGATGCTACCATGTCAATATGGACCAAAATCTCTGAGAAATGTTTCCAACACCTTGTTGAATCTTAGCCACAAAGAATTAAGGAAGTTCTGAAGGCAAAAGGGGGTCCAAACTGGTAATAGCAAGGTATACCTAATAAAGTGGCTGAGTGGTGGTGGGATGGCTGAAGGGTCTGCACAGTTACCATAGCACAGAAGTTGCAGTAGAACCCCCAGGAACCACTGGTGACCAGTGAACTATCCAGTGATACTGCAGGATGAGATGTTCTTGCTGCAGATTTTCTAGTGGCGGTCAAATTTCCAACCGCTGGTCGTCAACCTAAACTTTTCCCCTTGGTTTACAAGGACAGCCATCAAATCACCAACCATTGGGTAAGTAAAGTTGGACATTTTCTGCTACCTATATCTGTTCCAAGGCTCTTTCTTGTTATGGGGGAATGACAGCCTAGGAGTTGCAATGCCTATATATCTCTTGAGTCCAAAAAGACTCATTCACTTCAAGAAAAGTAAGAGTTGCTGACAGTTAGGAAGTGGGGATAGCCAGTAGGAATAGAGGGGGCAGATAAGACCAGGCAAGCTCCAACACTAACCCCAAAATGTCAGAGCCTTGGCTGCTTGTTAATCTTTTAATCTGGGAAAAATATTGGTAAAATATTGGTAAAACAACTGCATTTATTTCATTTAAGGGGGCCGAGGTTTTGTTTGGCTGATACTCCGTCTGCTAAAACAGTTGGTGCAGATCTTAAATTTTGGTATGACCGTCAACTGAGACCCAAAAGAGATGCAGACCCCTTTGCACAGACAATAACATTGTTACCTCTCAGACCCAAGTCATGTGCACCAAGGATATCAGTGGCAAGTTTTCCGGTGAGTAGTCATATGTTTACATTCTAATCAGCCCAGCATTAGTTAAAAGAAAATTGGATGCTTCTAACATGAAGAATCTCAAGGACTAGTACTAAAAATAGGAAATATTCCTGTGTCACAATCAATCCAGCACTGAATTGTTTTCTTGGCTGCTGAGTCAATTACCTCCCACCAATCAAATTTTATTCACAAGTTAATAATTTTAATTTTCATCCACATTTCTTAAACTGAGGATGTGCCACCTCTTGGAATTTGCAAGTACATTGGAGGTATGTGTTCTTCTGTTTTAGGAGGCCGTTTCAAAAATGTTTGTGCCCTTAAAGTAAAATTAAGCCTCAGCCAATTTTTTTTTAACCAGCGCTCCAGGATTTGTTAATCAGAATGTGCTAGTATGCACAGCACATTAGCATGTTATGGCAGACATATACCTGCCAAGTAATCCCCTACAGTTCCCCTGCACTCTCAGCACTCCCATCGGGCATGTGGGCAGCCATTGACTCCGGGTCTTCTTTCTGGGTTCCATATTTTTGGCTGCTTGGTTGACCAGGCCGTGATGATGTCACTCCTTTGAATGCACAGAGTGATCACATTGTCTCACCACAAAGTAGAACCGTAAATGTACACTGAGCTACATAAACACTGACAGACAGGGAAAGGAGTTTACGACAGTAGAGACCAAAAGGGTCTCTTCTGTCATAAAATTACTACCTTGCAGTGCTTTTTTTTAGGTTCAATTCTACTTTGAAGCCACCTAAAGTGTATTTACATTTTGTCAACCAAATTGGGATAACACCTACATTATATTAATTACATGTCTCCATTCACATAGCATAAGAAAAAATATTTAAAAAAAACAGCAGCTTACCTTTTTTAGATCATTCATTTTGGTGGACCCCCTGGAAATAAAAATCCTAGGTAGTTTTCTTTGTTTATGAGGGGGCTGGGCAGATGTGTTGCCATAATCAACCCTGTCTGTACTGTGCAGGCAAATCTTCCTTGTCAATTATAACTAGATTTGAACACTGTGGGGTTGATTTACTAGCTGGGGAGTGCAAAATCTGGTGCAGCTCTGCACAGAAACCAATCAGTTTCCAGGTTTTTTGTCAATGCTTAATTCAACGAGCTGAAGTTAGAAGCTGATTGGCTACTAAGCAGAGATGTACCAGATTTTGCACTCTCCAATTTTAGTAAATTAACCCCTGTCTATCCTAACAAGGGTTTGAAGGTGTAGAGGCTGAACTTCTTCTGTTGGTGAGAACAGACTTGGGACAGACTCATTTTAACATTGTTAAAAAAAAAAAAATCAGTCAGCCACCACACGTTCTCCTGAGAAACATCTAAAAGGTAAGAAATATTAAAACAAATAATTAGGCGTGCTGTGTTAGTGGGAACACTCAAAAACTTATAGTGGGCATTTTGCCCCTACATTGGCTCCCTTTTTGATGTCCTTATTCAATGATGTTTTGCAGGGAGGTAGGTTTCCTGAGGAGATGCTGTTGGCTAACATGTCTCTATTACCTAAACCACTAAAAGACCATCGTCTACCTCAAAACTATAGACCAATCTCGGTAATGAACAATGAATTGAAAATATTCAGCCGCATTCTAGCAAATAGGTTGGCCCCTATTATCTCCTCTATGGTCTCTCCGGACCAATCGGGATTTATCACAGATATACTTATTACAGACAACATTCGTCTCACATTAAATGTATTTCAGGATGCCAATTTACATTCTAAAGAGGTTTTGCTGCTGAGCCTGGACATTAACAAGGCCTTTGATAGTGTCTACTGGCCCTATTTGTTTTCATTACTGCAGAAGATGGGCTTTAGTGCAGAATTTCTGTCTGGTGTACATGCCTTATACAACTCCCCCAAAACAAGAATAAGACTTCCAGGCTGTAATTCAGATTTTTTTTTTACACTAGGCAGGGGCACCCGTCACGGTTGTCCTCTTTCGCCATTATTTGCGCTAGTTTTGGAATCCTTGGCAATTGCAATAAGATCACATTCAGACATTTCTGGTTACCCATTATTGGTTTCACATTTCAAAATATGTATTTATGCTGATGATGTTATGCTTTTCCTTACTAAACCGTTAGTATCATTGCCTAATTTATGCACAGTGTTGAATGACTTTGTATCAGTATCAGGTGCCTATCAATGTTCCTGATTCCCTGAGTGCATCTATCCGCAATTCTTTTCCATTTCGTTGGGCCACAGATCGCATTTCATACCTAGGTATTAACCTCACTCCCAGATACTCAAAATTATTTGCTGCTAATTACCCACCATGTGTGTCACGCCTGTCTACTCTGCTGAAGATCTGGCATGGATACCCTATCTCACTCTTGGGCAGAGTCACGGCAGTTAAAATGAATGTCTTGCCTAAATTACTTTATCTATTTAGGGCACTCCCAATCCCTGTGTCAAAAACATTCCTAGATCGCTTTCAACGGATGATTAACAATTATATTTGGCATAACAAACATCCTCGTTTTACTTCATCAGTCCTATACCGATCGCAACGGGTGGAAGGTCTCGGTCTCCCCAATTTCTGGCTTTACTACCTGTAGGCCCGTTTCGTACAATTATCACAATAGGCGACTATTAATTCCCAGATCCCGTGGATCAGATTTGAATCTCAGTCTATACGTCCGTTCTATTTACCAGGCATATTGTGGTCCAAAATCCACCCCGCTCGTTATGGATCCATAATTCCATTATGGCCCAATCATTGATGCTTTGGTCTCGATATAAACTTAGATTAAATCTGGTCTCCTCTGTCTCTCCAGGTTCATCATTTTTTGGTGACCCGAATTTTATTACGGCTTTTTCATCTCCACAGGCGTTCCGTTGTGGTACGATAGATCCTTTATTAGGTTATCTGACTTTCAAAGAGGAAGATCTTATATCACCTTTGAGATGCTACGCATACTTTCTGATATCCCGCTTCGTGAATATTATCATTATCTACAGATCAGACATTTTTTTAGTTCACATTTTGGTCTTATACCTTCATCTCTGATTTTGTTTTTTTGAACGTATTAGTCGTGACTCTCCTAGGGGTAGGGGTCTTATTTCAGATTTGTATCACCAATTTTTGGTTAGTTCTTTTTCCACACCCCCTCTTTATAGGCAAAAATGGGAAACTGATAGTGGTATAACCTTTTCGGATGAGGATTGGGATTGCATGGTGGATAACATACGTAAGAGCTCCAGATCCCTTTCTGTCTGTGAGACAGCCCTCAAGGTATTAACCAGATGGTATTATACCCCATCCAGACTACATGTCCTGTATCCAGGCACGTCCCACTTATGTTTCCGGGGCTGTGGCCTTGCCGGTACTCTGGTGCATACATTTTGGGCCTGTCCAGGCCTCTCCTTGGTGTGGCGCAGGATCTCTGAGGTGGCTTCTGCATTGGCGGGTGCTTCGGTGCATCTGACTACGCAGTCCTGCCTATTGGGAGCCCATATTTCGGGAGTTCAGACTGAGGTTATGAGGCTAATCCATGCCATTTGTATATCCACCCTATGGGCTATTGCCCTACACTGGAAATCTCTCACAGTACCATTGGCCTCTGTTCTGCAAAGAGTTGATGCTGTGATGCTCATGGAAAGAATTCATTACACTTTACTGGACAAGATGCACTTATTTGATAGAAAATGGGAAATTTGGAGAACTCATAGACATTTACTACATGACTAAGGAACACCCATCTTTGGATTGATTGAGTTACTCTGCTGGTAGCTGTATAATTCTGCCTACATCTCTATTTTTATTGCTCATGTACTTAAATTATTTTCTCTCTTTTCCTCTTCTCTTCTCTTTTTCTTTACTCTACATTATTGTACTTACTGAAATGTACATTTCAGTTGTGCCTTGTTTCTGTTTTACATACTGTTTGAAGCTGTAATGTCACTTTATGGTCTATTTCTTGAAAAATAAAATCGTTTGTAAACAAAAAAAAAAACTTATAGTGGGGTTCTCTCAAATCCAACTGCAAAAGTGATAATACGCTTTAAAGTGTATGTACTGTCTAATTAAAACCCCTTGTACTTTACAGTTTCTTGTTCGATTTGGGAGATTTTCACTCATTTCCAGGCAGTGAGGGGAAATCTTTCCAGAGTTGGGGGAATTCCCTTCTTAGCTGACATCAGAGCAAGTGTCTCCTGTCAATATATCTTCTTACCTATTGTTCTGGTGACATTTGTTAAATCACTTTCTGTCTCTGACAATGGTCACCAGGACCAATTATGAGTGTGGTTCATTTACAAAGGCAAAAAGGCTGTTCACTTTGCAAGGGAATTTTCCCCTAGCTTAGTGAATGAGGTAAAGTCCTGCTAATTTATCATCCACTCATGTGCAAGAAAAAAACAGTTTTCTCCCTTGCTTGCAATTGGGTTTTTATTTGCAAAGTGAATTTTCACCATATTCACTAAACTAAGGAAAAATGATCTTGCAAAGTGAACAGCCATTAGCCTATCCGTCCTAGAGAATCTATCCAGTGGGGACAGCAAAAAAAAAGCTTGCCAGAACTCTAACCCTTGCTTGCTCCATGCAGGCAAATGTATTTACATAATTTTAAATTTAAGGGCCATTCAGACTGTATTTGGTCCTCTGGTGTGCGTTAAAGCACCCATATTAGTGAACACTATGATGCATAGCGTTAAGGTAGACTATTCACTTAAATTGGCTGCCAATACAGCAGAAAAAGGACCTGCACTATATTATCCATTGCAGCACATTACTACACATGGCAGTGCATCACAGTGTATTGTGGTTCATTGGGGCTCTATATACAATCAGAATCGCACAGCGGTACATTTGTTGAAGTGAGCTGCGATAATGCATGCTTTACTGTGCTTTATCACAATTCATAGGTCTGAATGTTTTCTAAGCACTTATATAGTAAATAAATTTCAGAGGAACTATACTGTTTAACCTCCTTGACGGTATTCCCGAGTGTAGCTCGGGGTAACATTTCAGTACCAAAAGCGGTAACCCCGAGCTACACTCGGGCTTACCCTGCGGCACTGCTCCGGCATGTTGTCTTCACTTACCTTACCCTGCGCTCCCACGATGTGTCCCCTGCAGCGTCCCCGGCCATCTCCTTCGGCCGATGCCGGCATCCGGCTTCTGTGTCCTGTCCCTGTGACGTCGGGACGTACGGGCGCCGCCGCCGCCGGCGGCGGGAAATTTAAAAATTTTAAAAAATGTCATTTTTTTTTTTTTACATTTTTCATAGTAAAACATTGCTGTTTCAACCAATTTCACATACATATTGTCCCTAGTGCTTTGTCCTGTGCCCTGCCTGCATTTTGTCTGTTCTTTCTGCCTGGAAACTGAGAAATGTCCATGGCGTCCAAAAAGTGTCCCTTTAGGTCAAAAGCGGTTTAGATCAGCTAGAGAACAGCGATAGTAAATCAGAACCACTTGCAGAATTGAGTGATAATGATTCGTGGGGGAAATTCGTCATCAGACACTGAAAACGATTTTGCAACTTTGCTCAGAGATGTGCGAACTTGGCACTATATTTCACATTTCAGTGTTTTTGGTTTGATTATATTATTGAATTAAATTTTTTATTATTTTTATATTATTTTTTATGATTATTTATTAAATTATAATTTATGATTTTGTGTTTCAAATTTTATCATACCCGGGATGTTTACTAGACTCTTGTTCGGACAGATTTCAGTGAGTTTTTCCTAAAAATTACAGCCTACAATAAAAAAAAATACATATTTCCATGCAAAAAAATGGTACCGCTTTCAGCACCAAAAATCTGAAATAATCATACCGCCAGGGAGGTTAAATTATAATTTATGATTTTGTGTTTCAAATTTCATCATACCCGGGATGTTTACTAGACTCTTGTTCGGACAGATTTCAGTGAGTTTTTCCTAAAAATTACAGCCTACAATAAAAAAAATACATATTTCCATGAAAAAAAATGGTACCCGCTTTCAGCACCAAAAATCTGAAATAATCATACCGCCAGGGAGGTTAATATGTTTTGATATGCAAATAACATAGATTAGCCAAATTTCAACTATCAATTCATGGTAATGTTTTAAAGCCTTGTTTCTCTGTATAGTTTCTAAATGTATATGTACATGGGGCAGCCATATTTGCTATTTACATTTGTAGGATCTGCTTAGCACTGCAGCACAATGATTTTGCAAATTCACGTATCTTACTGCAGGTCTACCTGGTATGTTCTGATGTAAACCACAGATTTTCTGCATTCTTCGACAATATCATAGGAAGTGCTGACATTTTAAAGGTCTGGGCTTCCATGTTAAGCAAAAGCTGTGTCCACGGGCGGACTGACCATTTGGAAACTCGGGCACCGCCCGAGGGCCCAGGGTCAGTAGGGGGCCCCATGAGATGCCCCTGGTACCTTTTTCATAGGCTTTTTTGAGTTTGGGCAAGGACACAGGGGCCCCATGATCCCCTATTGCCCGGGGGCCCCATGAGTTGTCAGACCGCCCCTGGCTGTGTCACTCAGCCAGACTTGGCACACATAACCAGATTTAGTCCTGGATACTAAGGTGTCACTGCTGTCCCTGTAACATTCAGTTACACTGAGTTATTCAAAAGCGTAATGAGGGTGCAACATCCCACTACAACCAATCTGATTTTAGCTTCAAGAAAGGTGAAGCCAGCTCAGTTCAGAGATGATTGCTGATGGTTTCCTATGAATTACTATGCTATATGCTTGCACTTGTAGATTTTCTATTTTTTTAAATATGAAAATAAAACATTAAAATGCATGAAGGTGAAGAATGTGTATCTAAACCTTTACATCATGTTTCATGAAATTTGTTTAGGTCCCGGAAAATAGCTTTTTTTCTCCCATAAAAACGAAAAGAGCCTCTTTCACTAGACGATTCGACAGCATAATATCGGCTAAGTTAAAACCCGAAAAAAACTGGTAAAAAGTTTACCTGGCAGTGCTGTCCGGTCCAGTAAAATCAGGTAATGTATTACTGCACTACATGCAATGATCACATATTATTGACTTAGCTAGAAAAATATGCATATTATGTAATAGCAATACTTCAAGATGTGGATAACATACTATCAGCAGCAGTATATTCCCAAATGAAGACCATTTATTATGCAAAGTTAAAAGATGCCGATATACCGATGCCACCATCAAAGACTCCTTAGTCTCTATTATAACTTAAAGTGGCTGTAAACGCTCATGGTTTTTTACCTTCATGCATTCTAAGATAGAAAAAACCTTCTGTGTGCAGAATCCTCCCCAGCCCCTTACCTGAGCCCCAGCATGATCCAGTGATGAGAGCCTCGGCTCTCGGGGACTCTTCCTCCTCATTAGATGAGACAGCAGTGGGGGCCAACGTCAGTTACAGCCAGTGATCCAATGTGGAGAGAGAGAGGAGGCAGGGTTGAGCAGTGGCTCTGTGTGTGAATGGACAAGCAAAGCAGCGACCCGGGAGTGAGCCTGCTTGGGTGCCCCCATAGCAAACTGCTTGCTCTGGGGGCATTTGACAGGAGGGAGGGGCCAGGAGAGATGGCAGAGGACCCAAGAAGAGATGTATCAGGGCTGCTCTGTGCAAAACCATTACACAGAGCAGGTAAGTATAATATGTTTGTTTGTGTTTTTAATTGCCTATAATATTACTTTAAATATAATGTAGATCCTCATGTACATCCCCCACAGCACATATATCTGCTGCTAAAAATTATTATGTAAATATTAAACATCAGATTATCAAGTCTTGTTTAATGCCAAGGTGGGGTACTTTTACATTTTTTTTCTTTGCTATTGTCTGAAATCTCATTATCAGTTGTACACTGTCTGTCCTAACAAAGGGTTAAAGATCTAGAAGCTAAGCTTCTTCATTGTATGTTAATAAGGGAAAACACAGGGTGTCCCTCTTAGTCAGTGCAGACAGAGTTTCCTCTCATTTTAGTGATATACCTTTTTATTCTAAAATGTTTTTTGAACTGCATTCATACAAAACTGCATGTGAATACAGAGTCTTTACATGAAACAGTCTGCCTGAGGCCTGCTCCAAATGTGCTGTCTGAATAGGAAAACACATAGTGGGTTTTTCAGAAATGTAACTGCAAAAGTAGAAATACACTTAGGAAGCTTTTTGGCCGTTATCTTTTGTGTATTTAGCTACAATGCATATTCCCTGGATAAAATAATATTCATGTGGACAGCAATTAGTGCACAGATGTGAAGTTCTTGCATCTTCATAATTGTAGAGTGTGTTGTAATTTGCTCTTCTTTTTTCTTTTTTTTCTTTTTGGTCTGTAAATATTCTTTGAAAATGTTTTTATATCAATAAATGTGAAAAATACCTGTTTATCCCCAGTGCAAATCATTAGTAAGACCTCATCTGGAATATGCAGATCAGTTTTGGGCACCAATTCACAAAAAGAACATTAAGGAACTGGAGAAACTACAGAGAAGGGCAACCAAACTGATAAGAGGCATGGAGGAGCTCAGCTATGAGGAAAGATTAGAGGAACTGAATTTATTCTCTTTTGAGAAGAGGAGATTAAGGGGGGATATGATCACCATGTATAAATACATCAGTGGTTCGTATAGTGAACTCGGTGTAGAGCTATTCACCCTGAGGTCATCACAGAGGACAAGGGGCACTCTTTACGTCTGGAGGAAAAGAAATGTAATCTCCAAATACAGAAAGGTTTCTTCACAGTGAGAGCTGTGAAAATGTGGAATAGACTCCCTCAAGAGTTGGTTCTGGCCAGCTCAGTGGATTGCTTTAAAAAAGGCCTGGATTCTTTCCTAGATACACAGAATATAACTGGATACTAACATTTATAGGTAAAGTTGATCCAGGGAATATCTGATTGCCTCTTGGGCGATCAGGAAGGAATTTTTTCCCCTGCAGGAGCAAATTGGATCGTGCTTTCCTGGGTTTTTGCCTTGCCTTCTGGATCAACTGTGGGTATAGAATTCTAACTTTTTTTTTTCTTGTAATGGTTGAACTGGATGGACTTTTGTCTTTTTTCAGCCAGACTAACTATCTAACTATGTAACTTTAAGGATGTCATGGGACAGAAAGAAAAGCCCAACAGCAGGTCACATTACTAGTGAAAAACAGAAGATGTGGGGTGCTCTTGCCATTTCTGCCAGGGGAATTTATTATTTTCAAAATACTATGTCATTATAAATAGGACAAGAATCAGACCCATGAGCTGCTGTGCACCAACTGTACGTACAAGTCTGGCTAGAGATATTATTGGACCAAAAGTTCATCGCAATGCACCTGAAGAAGATCTTGTTTCTGTAAGTATTTTTAAATTATATCTATACCATACTGGGATAGGGAGCTCAGTCAATGTCAGCCTTTCAGTCTCTACTTTGTCTCACATTACTGTCAATTTAATACATGGAACATTGTTGCAAGAGACAAGAGCACAGAGTTGGCTGAACCAAGAGCTGCTGCTCCCTCTGCTTCTTTGTTGTTCAGTCATGAGATTAGGATTGGGAAGAGGAACGGCATTCCTTAAAGTGAAAGTAAAGGCACTAAACGTAATTCCTCTCTAACAGTCTGGGTCCCTTGCTGGCATCTTCTCCTTGGGTGCCGGTATTTGGGCCTCTCCATTGGCTGGTGGGCGATGACGTAACTCCTGTGTATGTGCACGATTCATTCATCCTGGCACACATGGACCATGCCAGCGATGGAAGCTGACCTGCCCATGCGTAGTTCAGTTTACATGCCACAGAAGACTGTGAGCAGGCAGGTAGGTGTATTTTATGCGCAAAAAACTCTTTCCGCGCCATGAGGAAAAGATATTAATAAATAAATAATCAATTAACCCCCCAAAATGTGAAAGTGACACAGCTGCTGTACTGTGTGTGTATATATATATATATATATATATATATATATGTATTGTAGCTGTTGTATTTTATTTCAGATAAGACATTGTATGTGTATGTCCCTACTATGATAATAGCCTGCCCACCCATGGTCTGGTATTATATTACTTCACTTCCACTTTAACCATAACAGACAAAGCGGTGTCACCTTCCAGTCTATGCACTGTTCCATGCATGCATAAATCACATACACAATGGCTGAACAAAATCACAAAAATAGTCTGGCAAAAAGATCACATATATATTTTAGCTATATAGGTGGCTTTTTTTGGCAAAAATTCATCTTTAAAGCACTAATGACCCACTCCACCCTGCCCTCTATGCAGTATTAAGGCTGGCCATACACTATACAATTTTCTGTCCAATTTCCTTTAGATTTACCTTCAACTATGTAGTGCAAGGGCCTGCCTAATTGGATACAATTGAAAGTGTTGTTTAGGTTTGACTTCATATTATATGTTTTTTGGTAAATCTAAAGGAAAATTGTACAAGAATATTGTATAATGTATGGCCAGCCTTAGTTCCTATAGTTACCTTTTACTGCTGCTGTTTACACTCCCACTACCACTCTGCAAAAATCTCAGTACATCCAGGTATGAAGGAGCAAGTGACACACACCCTGAGTTCCCACTAGCGAGCATTTGACGTTTGAGAGATCTGAGAGTTATGTAGCACTACCCCCTTAGGAGTTGCAAAGATGTGGGTCCCCAAATCTATAGCCCTGCGCAGTCAAGCAACGTGCATTTTCAAGCAGACTTGCATCCAGGAGTCAGAGATCACTTCTTGAGCTTTGTTACTGGTGTACAGGATGCCGATGAACTGAGGACAACTTCCTGGAACTATTTACAAGCCTCCACTGCAACACAGTCTCTGTTGGAGAGCTAGCCAGTGTCTCCTAGTGCACCACCCCAGACCCTAGATAGACTCCTCTTCCTCTACCCAGCTGTCTGGAGGTATCCCTGAGCAGGGAATCCAGTGCCTGTCCTTTTAAAGGATTAGACAGTTCAATAGGTGGAGAATCTGGTTTTCCACCAGAGTGCTCCTTCCCCCTGTCTGGCCAGAGTGCTCCTTCCCCTATCAGGGGGTGCAGTTCTACTCACTCAGTCCTTCTCCTGTGCGGCTGGTGGGTTGGTGGCTGTTACCAATCCTTCTAGCTGAGCTGCTCTTTCCCTGCCACACAGGTGGTCTTTTCTCAAAGGGCCGGTGAAGTTCCAAGTTTTCCACCTTCCAGGCTCCGCTGCCTGTAGATGAGCCCTTCTCTTCATCTGGGCCCCCTCCCAGGCTCCTGCCTTCAGCCTCACATCTTCCTCTCTGTCTCCCACCCAAACTCTCTCCCCATCTGAGCAGACTCAGTGACTCTTAAAAGGTTGTCCCAGCCTCTTTCCAAGCCTCCTGTTGGGGATTTTCCAGGATCTTTCAAGAGTCCAGGAAGCCACTCCTCAGATCTACCCACTGCTTTTAGACCTCTCTCCAAAGATCTAGAGCAGAGGGGGAAACTCCAGAGGGCACTCCTAAGTATTGCACCTGGACTGCTGCTCATCCCGTCTAACAATTAAAATTAGAGCTCCCCCTAGCTAACTAAGAGGTTTCTACATGTATAAACAGGACAGCCAAGCAATTAACCTTTTTAAAAGGAGAGATAAAAATAGTATCCTATATGTTTCTTTTATGACAGGCTTCCGTTCCTATATTGTTTATAAGAAACTGGCTGATAGCAATCAAATCGGAAATTATTGGATGACAGTGGACACTGTGTGATGTCTGTAGACCCCTCCTGGCCAACCACTCGGGGAAGAATTCATTAGCTCGATTAAATTTTTAAGACCAATAGCTATTATTCTAAGATGGGGTGGAACAGGGTAGCTTGAACTATAAATGTATGCTTGGCCAATACAAGTGTGCATGAACGCTCCCAAGAATGATTGCTAAGCCACTGAATCCTCCATCCATAATGTCATGTTGTGTATCTTTAGGTGAGCAAACACTAATTTTTTCTGCACTAACCAAGTAGCCTTATACAACCTACTACCT